TCATCAAATCATGCATGTCTGTGTGTTTATACAGGCTGCTAATAATCACGAAAATCAAAATTACCAGCCTCCCTCATCCTCATCCACCCACCATTTTTCTTATTCATATATGCTACCTTTTTTTTTTTCTTGCTGCAATTGATTTGTTAACTTTGTTGACAAATCCAACATACAAGTAAATAACACATAGTTAAGGAACTGATTTCACATTTCAGACATATATAAAGTTAATTCTAGTTCTAGGCTCGCTCTAACTAAATGAGATTCAGATTAATTCTTCTTTCCTGCTACTAGGCACTAGCATAATATTTCTGTAGGAGATATCAAAGACCAAACAATACACTACAAAAATTCCAGAGACTTGGGATTCTATGCAGTTTACTCCCATAATACTTGTCTTACCAAAAAAAAAAACAAAATATCATATGCACACACCTACCCCCTCCTATGTGTGGAAAACTGCAACTGATAATTTTCACCAATTCACAGTTTCATTTCATCTCACCTGCCGCCAGGCAATGCCATTTTATCAAGGACAAATAAGCATTTCACATCTTGCTCGGCCTTTTGCCATTCTGGAGCCTAAAAAATAAAACATACCCTTTATCCTCCTACCAATGAAAACAAATCTACCATCTTCTTCTTGTTTATAAACCAAATGGACTGTGCTTCAATCTCTGATTTGGCTGTTAGGTGATGCCACTTCTGTAATACTTGGCACTGCTTTCATGTTTGCAAAGAAGATGGGTGTCAACGGTGGTGATGATGCAATCTCTGCATCCTTGAATGGAATCTGGCTCTGGGCAGACCCCAAATGCCTAGAAACATGTAATGCCATTGCTCTTTGACTGCTAGAACGTATGGAGGAACTCCGAGGGACAATCAATGGTGGCAATGGAAGAGGAGCTGGTGCACTTGATGCTGCTGAATGAATACTATTTATCATGGAAAGCTCTTGACTTCTTAAGCCCAGTGGAGCAGAATGACTTAGCAAGCCAGGAAATTTTGCTGCCTTAGCAACTAAACTACCAGCTGGAGGCCGTGGAAGCTCATGAAGCTCATTTATTCCAGGTGATAACTCAAGGGGAGGTGAAGCAGTTGGGGATGCTATCCGAGACAATAAAAGTTGAGGATTTGGTAACTGAGGAAGTATTCCAGAAGGTAACTGGGGGACTTCAGCTGTGATTATGGGTCCACTTGGTAATAAAACCGGCTTTGTTGAGGATTGTTTACCAGTCAGTGGACCTGAAAGAGCTTTTCTTTTTGTCTTTTTTGCATCAGAAGCACTGGATGCATCCTGCTGTGGCGGTAAACGCCCCTCTGCTGATGGAAGAGGCAATTGCATGGAGGCATTACTACTGTCACTCTCTTTGGATACAAACTGAGCTTTTAAGGTGGTTAGCTCCCCTTGTTGGCCCTCACCAGAATCTTTTTCATGCTTCTTCTGTTCCAGTGGCAAAGAATGCCACAGATTGTGGGTATGTCCAGAAAGGTTTGCTGGTCTACTATGGGAAACAGAAGTAATTGTTCTCGAAGAGATTGTGCCCTTTGAATCAATTGGTGTGGGCAGTACATATGTGTGAGACTTCCTTTTAGATGACTCAGGCATTTCTTTGACTTTTTCAGGTGGCTCGAATTTGCTTTCGGGAAATAAGGGAGCTGAATAGCTGCTGAGTCTGTGTTCTCTACCTAAGACATGTACTTCTTGGCTCTTATCCAGGTTTACCTACGGGCAGACAACTGAATTTGTAAATCTTGAAAACTGCATAATTTGAAAGAATAAAAACAACAAAATTACAAGTAATAAATATTCTACAAGCTAGATCAGATTGTTTCACAACTAAACTCAAAAGACCAGACAGGCAGACACAAGCACACACACATTCATGCAAAAGACCAGCATTAGGAGGTCCAATTAACAAATCTGAAAATACTGCAACTTAATTATAGCTCTGCACCTCCCACCTTTGAAGTAAGGGGAAATGATATGCCCACTTCATCAACCTGGAGAATAAGCCACCAAATTACAAGAGTAAAAAGAAGTGTGTATAAAAGAATTATTCTCTATAAGAAAATACATATCATCTTAGGATAATTTTGTTCCTATGACAAATTATAATGATATCATCCCCTGTTGAAAAAGGCATTTGTGTTAGTTGAACCAATAGACCAAGTCATACAGTGATTTGCATATATCAAGGATGGGAAACCCAGTCCCATTGGATACTGAAGTGAAAAAGAACATTTAAATTAATTGTTAGCTTTTTTGGATCTCAAATTTCCAAACATAAAATTAAACAGTTAGGATGTTTATGAAGAAGCAACTATTCCCTTGAACTTCTTGCCTTTATCTATGTTTAGCCAACTTCTTGTCTGGAAGTTCTAACATCTTGGTACAAGCTCACAAAAGATGAGTTCACGAAACATTAGGAATAAATGCATAATATTATACATTCCTAGTGGCACACAAAGCACTATGTATAATTGTATAGACTGCTGTTCCAGAGAGGATCAGCATCAAAAATAATGAAAAAAGTCAGTTCATTAGAGAAGAATCAGACCTCCATTGAATTACTTGGTGCAGTAGTCGCATCAAACCCCTTTTCACTTGCTTCAAAACTCAATTCTCCACTTTCATTAGTATGGTAGCCATTTTCACCATCTTCCCTACCATCATCTTCAAGGCCAGAGAATTGGTAATCAATGCGTTGCTTTTCAGTAATCATTCTAACATGTGTCTCAACTTCCTCAAGTGATTTAAGGCCTCTCCGAAAGAAATTCAACTGCACTCAGACCAGAAAAGAAGAGGAAAAAGTTAGTTATCATTGTTCCACTACTGATAACAACTACAAATATTATGATTTGAATTTTGAAAATATGAATAAAGGAAACCTGAGCTGCATGGTGGCGAGCTGCTTGCGTTAGAAGGCTTCTGGACTGTCCTTGCTTAAGAGATTTCAACCGGAAAACACATAGGGTTGCCTCTTCATTATATTCATCATAAGCTGTTTGTAACTGCTGTGGAGTGGAAGTCTCGCCTTTTAACCTTCCTTTTTCCTTTTGTTGTCTCACCATGTCTTTATATATGTTTCTGAAGGTCATGAATTGAACTCAGAAAGGATTCACAGCATCAAAGCAAAATAGGAATGTACAGAGGAAAAAATAGGACCTTTTTTCATCACACAGTCGTTTCATGTCCTGCATTGGCAAAGAAAAAGAAAAGACCATTCATTATGCTGCTCATATATCCATATTTTGTTAAGACTTGAGAACTAAGATGGCATGCATAGAAGTAAGAACATGAATCTTCTAGTGTACATTAATGCTTATGCAAATTTTCAAAGTTAAAAACATGAAGGCCTATAATACCCCACCAGTTGATGAATGATGATAACAATAACCGCAATGCTGGTGAAGATGATAACAACGACAATAATGATTATGAAAATAGCATTACCAGCAACAAATATGAAACTGAAGATTCTATATTCGAGAACAAAAAAGGTGTTGTGTGCCAATAAACAACAGAAGAATCCACAAGAACAAACCTCAACAGTATTAAGGTTATTAAGGAGTGACTCTGATGGGTTTGTAATTGTCTCGATTATATGATGGCGCTGAACCACATGTAGCAATTAGTTAATTAAAAAAAAAACAGGGCTATTCCAAGAATAAGGGAAAAGGGAAAGAAAAGACAAGTTTTTTAACAATACAAAAATAAAAATGCTCACATAGTTATCCACAAGTTTTTGGAGTTCAGACTGCACTTTCCCCAACATTGATAAAACTTCACCTGCAGAAAAAGGCAGCATCATTACTCATTACAGCACATGCATATTCCAGTCAAATCACCTAAGAACCCAAACCAATATCACCATATGATGGGTGAGGGCAAGATCTTCTGAAGTCTGAACACCCTTTGCCCAATCCCATCCCACCCATGAACAATAAAATGAATTCACTCACAAGTTTCTGCATCTGCATCATGATGTAATGCTGCTTTTTCCAGCAGACAAGAACCCATTTCTCGTAATGATTCTGAGAATTCTGTGAATGCACAGGTAGTCAAATGGTAAATATCTTGAATGTTATGCCATAAAAGTAATCTACTGATGTACAAAAACCTCAGCAGTGAAAAAACATAAAATCTTGTCATAAAGATAAAAGAAATAAAGGTGACTTGACATCACAACTTATTAATGCTACTCTAGAGACTCAAAAATTTGTTACCATTGCAAAATTAGTCATCAGTTTTGGCTGGAAAAGGAACATACAATGTAATCAAAAAATTAGAAGATACCAAAAATGGAATGTAGGAGCCACAAATTGAAAGAAAGAAGAAAGGAAAAAACTCCAGACAATACATGTGATGATGAAGTGCAGTATTTATACCAAATGCACAGTTTGCAGTTGCAGCAGCAGCAGAAAGCAGGCCATTGTAGCAATTTCTCATGTCTTGAATGTCCTGCAAAAAGAATAAAAATGAAAGAACAATGATGCTCCTAAGACTAAGAAAAAAAATTTACAAAGACAGCCACAAAGAATAGATTTCAGAAAGGTATTAGTTTAGCGTTAGTAAACAATATCATCAGCTGTTCAAAAATATAAGCTGGACAGTTGCTATAAGGATTTTTGACTGCCAAAACTAGTGAGTTGTTGAAAACAAGAATCAAGTGTATGATTTTCCTTTTTTTTTTAATCTTGTATTAAACTATTGAACTTATAATCCAAAACCATCCAGGATTGGAAGAGTCTAGATATGTAGTAGTAGTAGTATGATATTTATTAGGTGTGGAAAACAAAGGCTTGTAAGTAATTTTGTATTCAATTGTTAGTTGCCCAATTATCATTACATTTTAGAACAGCCTTGGGAATTGGGGTGTATGGTTAGAAAACAGAAAATATAAATGACCCTCTAAACTCATGAAAGAACGGTAGCAAATTCCTAAACACATGCAAGCATCAAGACAAGATAGGTAACTAATTAGAAAAACACCAAATGTTGGATAAATTCCCAAACAGAGTTTTGAAAAAAAAAATTAAAAAAATTACATAACTGGTTAGACAACCTGATTAAAAACTAAACTGATATCCCAGATAGCAATCCAAGTTTTCCTACACAACATCAATGTAAAAAAAAAAAAAAAAAACCCAGGGAAATTACTTCCACAATTCAGTACTAGTATATTCAAGACTCTTCTTCTAAAAAAGATATATACTTTTCCAGTTGAAGTAATAGTAATCAGTAATCAGATGATCAAAAAGGGGAAAAGAGAAATAGAAATTATTGTTATTAAGATGTTGAAATTGTAGAGAAATCTAATAATCTTAATTAATGAAATCCAATTAAGTTGAGTACCTGAGCAGCGTCATCCAAGTGAGCGGAGGGATGAAAATCTGTTTTGGGGAATGCAAATCTTGGAAGGTTACCCTCACCCACAGTGAGACTGGGAGAAGACTTGTTCTTCATTGCCCACCCTCCTTCCCCCAACCCAAAATATATATATATATATATATCAATTTGGAATCTGCAGCAGCAAGAGAAAAAATCTCAAAGCCCCCTTACTTAAATT